TTTTTGAATGTGTTTCTTTCATATATAAAAACTTTTTTAGGCCTTTGTAGACTCCAATATAAAAACATGTCTTTTATCAGAGACATTTCAAACACTGTAATTCAAATAGTCAAATGAATGTCGGTTTTAACCTTATTTGCAACTGTAAGATGAGTGCTAACATCTAGTGTTATGGGAACACTAGATATGCTTTAGGCTGCCCTAAAGCATCAAAATGTTTCTAGGCCATGTTCATTTTAAGTTCAACTCTAACAAAACTGGGTAAAATTGTTAAGTTTGCTGGTATAATTATAAAAAGCAAAGTCTAGTCAATCAAATTCACTTTGGTGCGAAATAAAAATTTGAGATTACACAATCATTTGTTTCTCAGCATATATAATCTAGAGTTTCATATATCAGGATTTATTTGTATGTCATCATTTCTTATATACAATCTTGACAGTGGCCAACGTAAAAATATAGTGGCACCATTATAAAATAAAGGTTTAATACCAGATGAGAAAGCATGTTTATAAGGCAGGGAAAGGCTAAGTGGATTTCTTGATCTTCTAAGCAAAACTCTATTGCAATAAAAATCTCTGCAAGACAATTTTCCTGCCCGAAATGGTTGCTCACTTAGCTAAAGGTGGCATTGGGTACTATAAACAATATTGCTGCAAAGGAAGAATTTAAAAAAATTCCTTTCAGTCGCTGGATGGAATTTTACTTGGAATATTAAGAAATGCATAAATAATTGAGGCAGCAAATATATACTTGTTTCACTATTAGGCAAACTAATATCACTCAAGAGTCAAAGTACTAAAAAAATAATCCAACAATTTACTGGTTGAGTGTGAGCTTTGAGGCCAAACTGCCTAGGTTTTAAATTTTTTTTTTTTTTATTTATTTATGATAGTCAGAGAGAGAGAGAGGCAGAGACACACGCAGAGGGAGAAGCAGGCTCCATGCACTGGGAGCCCGACGTGGGATTCGATCCCGGGTCTCCAGGATCAAGCCCTGGGCCAAAGGCAGGCGCTAAACCGCTGTGCCACCCAGGGATCCCACTGCCTAGGTTTTAAATCCTGACTCTACTAGTTAATAATTCTGTGACCTTGAGTGTTTCATCTATATAACAGGGATTTGATAAGAGAATGTATTAAAAGACCCCACACACAGTACTTCAAATAATAATTGTTAACACTTATTAAGAAATTTACAGTATTTAATTTCACCTTTGGCTATTTCATTTTGGAGCTCTTCCACATTTTTTTTTTAAGGAATTCTTTTTTAAAAAGATTTTATTTATTCATGAGAGAGAGAGAGAGAGAGAGAGAGAGAGAGAGAGGCAGAGAGAGAAGCAGGCTCCATGCAGGGAGCCCGATACGGGACTCGATCCCGGGACTCTAGGATCACACCGTGGGCCAAAGGCAGATGCTCAACCGCTGAACCACTCAGGCATCCCCACCACATTTTTTTTTTTTTTAAGATTTTATTTATTTGACAGAGAGAGACAACAAGCAGGAGGAACAGCAGACAGTCTGATGAGAGGCTCAAGGCTTAATGCAGGGCTCGCTGAAGGCAAACCGTTAACTGACTGAGCCACCCAGGCACCCCCTCCACCACATCTTATTTGTAAAGGTGTGTAATAAATAAGAATGATATAGTAAAACCTAAGTTACCAGAATGCTTGGGGAATGAATCATCTGGATAGGGAAGTTTTCTATAGGGTATGTTTATAGGTACAGTTAAAAAAAAAAAAAAAACGGATGGGATAAACTATTTCCTAGACCTATTATGTACTTTCATGTATTCTTAATAAGTACACTGGCAGTAATTAAACTTTTAATGAATCACTACTGTTATGAATATAAATTATAACCATATGTTAAAATTTCACAATCCCTTCAAGGTTTACCAACAGGAATAAGTCCACTAAGACCTTACCTAAAATTTTTTATCATAAAGTTCATGGACAGAACTAGGGAGTATGTGAATTTGGATGGGGAAAAAAAATACATCTTTATTTTTACTAATCTCTAACCGAAATTTACTATTTCCTTCAATTTTGAAAGTAAGCAACAATACCTACATCTGTATCACCAAGAGAAGATACTTTACATCACAACATAATTGTTGCTATGAATTTTACTTTATACATTTAAAAACATTATTCTTAGAAGAGTCCATGGCTTTACCAGACTGCCAATGTGGTCTGTGGCACAAAAAAGTTAAGAACTCTGACCTCAAATTTGTGCCAGTCTGTTATGCTTTGTTAATTAAGAGCATTAACATGTTCCATTATACTTTCATACTGAAGTTTGTTTAGATTAGGGGAATACAAATTGGCTTATCTGAGACTTTTCTTTATGGACCTCCTGGATATTGTGCGTTCCCTTTGGGGGATGTTTCCTATCACTCTTGTAACCTTGGCTTCTGAAAGAACAAAACAGAGGGAGAAATAAGTCAAAATTAGATTCAGAGGACACTGAAAGTAGAAATATAAAGCATCTTACTCCCCTACTTCCTAAATTATTCTTTTAAACAAACTTTTTTTTTTAAGATTCAAAAAATTTTTTTTTTTTTTTATTCATGAGAGAGGCAAGAGACGGGCAGAGAGAGAAGCAGGCTTCATGCAGGGAGTCCGATATGGGACTCAATCCTGGGACTCCAGGATCACGCCCAGGGCAGAAGACAGGTGCTCAACTGCTGAGCCACCTAGGTGTCCCTCTACTTTCTAAATTAAAAGGCAGTATGAAATTCCACTCATTAAATACCCTGAAGTTAACTGCCTGGGTTCAAACTCTACTTCTGCCATTTATTAACTGTGTAATCCTGGGACAGTAACTTCATCTCCCTAAGCATCAAGTTCTTTATTTGTGAAAGGTTACTAGGCACAGTACCTGACACAGGACAAGTGTTGCATAAACATTACCTATATTTATGATTATTCTTACATGTTTGTTTCACATTCTGGCCAGTTAATGTCTGACCGGTTAGATTAATAACTTATGTTTACCAGTATTATAGTCTACAGTGCCCTTTCACATACATTATGACACCCGAACTATACCACAAACCTGTAAAAAAAAAAAAAAAAGGCTGCTATTATTATGTATAGTTCAGTGTGGGAAGAAGCTAAGATGGTAAGCAACCACACAGTATCACACCAACGAGAATAGAGCAAGAACTCAAACCTGGATTTCACCCTCCAGCCCAACTGCCTAATTATGTGTTTCTACTCAAGTAGACCGGTTAAATCGGAGAACAAAGATTATTCTGGGAGAAGGGAAACAGGCTGTGTGATGAGCACTTTAGTACTCTGCTATTCACGGGGCTGTACTCCGGCCAGAATCATCTGCACCACCTGAGAGTTTGTTAAAGCTGTGAAATCTCATGCTCCACCAAGGCCTACTACACCAAAATCGACATTCTGAACAAAACCCTTAGCTGATTCACATAGATACCAGTTTGAGCAGGGTTTCACCGATTGCTCGAGTGACACTCCTCCTGACCACGCAAGCAGTATACATTGGCCCATTCATCACAGACCTACTTTAGCTTTTATTAGGTAATACTTCATTGTAACCAGAAATTGCTGCTTTTCTTTTTTTAAGTATATTCTAAAAACAAGTTTATATTCCTCTTTGATTCTTTAAGATACCCACACTTCGTTAAGTTAGGAAATGTCAGAAAACTTTAAGCAGGTCAGCGCTTACCTTTAATCCTTTTAAAAATTACTGTCGTACCACCCCTTTGCCTGAAGGATACACTAGAGAGCCAAACCACCTTCTCCATTATTATTTTACACCCGGCAGATTAAACAGGCCAACTCTGCTCTTCTCTTTCTGCCCGCCCCCGGATGTTTCAGTTAAGTAATAAGTTTTTCTGACCCAAAACTCTGACCTTTTGAGTCTTGCAACTCTGTGGACCTAGAAGTCGAAACACGGCAAGAGGAAGAAAGAGGTTTTAAGTCTCTTCCCGTACCTCCATCCTGGCGGATGGCGGCAGGCAGGCAAAGAGCCTGCCCCAGTTTCCCTGCCCTCCACGTTAGTTCATGGTTGAATCTGGTTCCTAGACTACTGTGACTCTGGGAAGGGCTCTAGGGGGCCGAGGCCCCCTTTCCTCTAGGTCAGAAACGCGCCGTGTCTCGGCACCTGAGAGCGCTCACCGGCGGTCCGCTCGGCTCTATTCAAAAGGAGTGTTGCACTCTGAGGGCCGCCTCCTCCCGCGGGTTAACTAGCCCGCACCGGCAGGCGAGTGTATATATATATATATATCGCTCACCTGCTTCACCGCAATCTCGGAAGGCCCGGATCAACCTGGACTAAAGGTACCTAGTAATTAGCCCGTGGCACCTCCCGCCGCACATTCCTGATTGGGCGCGTGAGCGACGGACGCCTCGGCGCGCGCTCCAACCCGTCCGGGGAATTCCAGTTCCCCTCCCTCCCACCAGCAGAAGCATTCAGGGGCGGTGCTTCCCGACGACGGCCCGCCCCAACCCCAGCCGGTGCCTATCGCGTCTCGCGAGAATTCGTAGATTTGGGGGCGGGCCCCCAGCAGGAAGAGCTCACACAACTGCCCTTAAGTCATTGCAGGGCTATCGCTCCGGTTAGCCAGCCAGGAGGTTCTCGCGAGATCCGCCGCCTCAATACCAAGTGAGGAAACTGGGGGGACGCTGCTGGGAGGGGCGTGGGTCTCGACCGCGCAGCTGCCGCTTCCATTACCTTCCTCCCATGGTCTCCTTCCGGTTCTCGATGCTTCTCTGAGTCTGAGGGTTTCCGCCGCTCGTCCACCCTCCCCCCGCAGCCCATGACCCGCCTCCGGCCCCCGCCCTCCCAGTCCAACCTCCGATCTGTGTAGTAAGAAGGTGCTGTTCCGAAAAGAAGGACGAGGGGGTAGCACAGATAAACTCGGTCCCGGACGTAGGAAGTCAACCGTCCCCCCCCTCACCCTTAGATTCGTCCCGTGCTCGCGACGGCGGCGTTGGCGGACTGATACGCGGCGGTGAAGAGGCAGGAGGAGGGGGGAGGGGCGGAGCGTGGCAGCTGGCAGTAGTTCCGTCAGAGCGGACATCTTGTGGCTGTGTCGTGCGCGTGAGCCCCGTAGGGCCGGGGAGGCACCAGCTGCCGCGCGGGGAGGAGGCCGAGGCCGCAGCTTGAGGGAGGCCCCGGCCCCTCTGTACGCGTGGGTGCGGACGGCTAGGGGAAGGGAAGGGAAGGGAGGCCGGGCCCCTGGCCGGCCGGGTAAGAGGGGAGATCCAGGCCTTGGGTGGCTTGAGTGACCAGCCTGTTGGGTGGGGTAGGGTGGGAAGGCTGGGGAAGCCGGGGCCTCTCCTGCCCAAGGGGGTGGGGGAATGGGCGCGTCCTCGCGCCCGAGCCGGAGCCTCAGGGGCAGCTCGGGCGCGTGGTGGCGGTGGCGGTGGCGGTGGCGGTGGCGGGGCGGGCGCGTGCGGGAGCGCGCTGGAAGGCGGAGTGTGCGGTGGCGTCAGGGCCGACAGAATAGCTCTGGCTGCGGGGACAGCAACCTACAGCAAGTCTCTCTATTATCTCCTTCTCCTTCCGGGCCGCACCTTTGAGCAGAAACCGAAAGAACTCCGGCGTCAGTCCGGAGCCTCCAGTGTCCCCCCTCCCCCCTAGCCTTTCTTTGCCCTGGTGACGCCGGCACAGCGCCGACTAGGCCCCGGCTCCTCCTCTGCTGGGCTCCGGACCCTGCCCCGCACCCACCCCTTTCTCCTACGCCTCTTCCTCTCCCACCCGGGTCTCTGTCGAGAGGCCGGGAAGTCAAACTTGTAGCCGCCCCCTCCGCTCTCCCCGTCACCCTCGCCGCCGCTTCGGGCCGAAGCACGGCATAGAGGCTGTTGGTGGCTTTGCCACGCCACCCCACCCACCCCGGATCGCGACCGTTTTAAGGGACCTGGATTCATCGGGGTCTCTCCGGGGCCTGTGCGAGTGCTGACCTGCTCCGTTTTTGCAAAAGGCGCCTGTGTCTGGCAGAGCCGGTGTGAGACGAAGAGAGACGACCCTTCCCTGCCGCCCGCGTAATCAAGAGTTTTGGCCGGACCTTGGAGCACACACCGAGAGAGTGAGGAGCCAGACGAAAAGCACAGACTATGGCGCTGAAACGGATTAATAAGGTAACCCACGGGGCTGAAGGGAATGGGGTCGTGGGAGGAAAGGAAGGCTCGGTCTCGGAGGAAAGCGTGGGGGTGGGGAGGAAGTATAATTAGGAAAACGTCTCTCCTTGGGTCACTTCTGTTGGGGGGGGATGGGATGGGATGGGATGGGAAAGAAAGGAGGCTTAAAGCTAGAGAACCGAACACTTGTGGCCAGTGAGCTGTTTATCTTGAGTATGTTTCAGTGGAGTCGGCCCAAATTAGGGGTGGGGGAGAGTGATTTTAGGCGCTTCGGTTCTGCTGCTAAAAGAAGAGTTTTAGTCTTGTTTGAGGGTCAGAATTGCCCAGAGACGCTCCAGCAGATGTCATGGCTCTCCCTGTTCTCGGTGCTTAAGAACTTTGGCTGTAGTAAGATCAAGGTTTTCGGGTTTTCTAGGGGGAAGAATCGTAGGAAACTCCTAGGGGAGGTGATAGAAATCTGGCGGGTCCTGAACCTAATTGAGGGTCGGTGTAGAAGTCTCTCGGCGGCTGAAGAGTAGTGACTGAACCTAGTTAAACTTCATCGACTCTGAGCAGGTTACACAAGAATAAGTGGGGCTGGGAAGAGATGGGCCGACGCGATGTTACCACTTCCTTAGGTTTTGTAGTTGAGACTTCTCACTCGAATTTATAAGAGGGACGCTGAGAACTGATGTAAAAGGCTTCTGGAAGCTCCCTTCTTTTGACTGGGGGGTGGGGGGGGTGGGCGGTCCGGGTGTGATGGCAGTAAGGGAAGGTTTGGTGTACCTATCTTTGTCTCGGCTGATTTTATAACACTTTCGGAGATGATTGTTTGGCTACTTGAAACGTGGTTTGATATAAACTATTGATAGAAGTTGAAAAAATAAGGTTTTTCGAGCCGGGGGGGGGGGGGGCGCCGGGTGAGCGGAACCTTCACCTCCGGTGGTTTAGTCTCATTTTCTTGCTCTAACTTCTATCCCGCATTTTAAGATGGCGGCTGCTTTAACTGGTTCAGGCTTTTTCCGGCATCTCCTTTCGTAATTATATGAAATAATATTCTTTGTTAAATGTTAACTTTTACATCAGATTGTACACAGCTCTTAAGACGTCCTGCTGAAGACTCGATGTTCAAACTCTCAGACTGTATTTCCCTTTTTTGCAACTTGTGTATGTGTGGTGTATTTGGTTCTTGCACAATCGAGGAGGGTGGAGTATTTACAGCTAACTTGAAAAAAATGTCATGGAATAAATTCAGCCTTACTAAAAAACTAGGGAGACAGGGGGCTGTGGGTTAGAAACTTCGGTTTTGATGGGTTACTTTTTTTTAAAGGAGTTCTATATGGAAGGCATGGCAAGGACTTGGCTTATACTAAGTAGACCTGATGCTGCCTAATTTTTAATATGTGTGACTTTGAGTTTATTTGGCCAAACTGGTATTCTGAAAGATGATGGTTCAGATTTTCATGTAATGTATTGAGACTGAAATCTTGAATTTTGATTTAGTCCATCATTGCATTGTCATTGTGCGTTTATGTAAAATATACACTTAAATGTTTGTTTTGGAGAGGAAAAAACTTTTAGGAGTTAAGATTTAAAGTAAAAAGGATTAAGCATTTCTTTGCCCATTCTAAGGCCAGCAACACATTGGAGAAGCGTGGTCCTATTTTACAGCATAGTTAATACAAAGAATAGAATATTCAGTACAGATCAAAACCTTTTATCTATGCGAATCAGTTCAGTTTACTGAGATGTGGAGTAATTTCAAATCCATAGCTTTTTATGCATGTGGAACAACACTTTAAAGGAAGGTCTCATTGATTTTTTTTCTTTTACAGGTGATACCCAGCTGCTGTGACACTACTTAATGATTTAGAAGCTTTAGAGAGGCAATATAGTAGTTAAGAATGTGAACTTTGGAGCAGAAATTATCCAGTTAGAGTTCTGGGAATGGGCAAGTTATTTGTATGCCTCTATAAAGCGAATACTTGTTATCTACGAACAATAGTTGAGTGCCTAGTATGTTCTAGACAGTAGGGATGCAACAGCGAGCTAAACAAATTTAGGTACCTAGATTTTATTTCTTTTTAATTCTAGGATTAAAGAGGCCAGTGTGTGGCTTTGAACAGGCCCCTGGCACAAGGCATTCAGGTTATTAATACTACTATTTTTAATCTTCAAAAACTTGCTAAAGAACTTTCTTAGTTTAGTGCTTTTCATTAATACCGGTCTGTCTTTTGCTGTAAATATTTTGAAGGTATGCGTAATACAGAAACTGGACGTAATACTTTCCAAATTGGAAGAAACAGTGTTATGTGGGACTGTTGATTCAGCCTATAGAAGGTTTTTGAAAGGCATGTGGCTTGGTATTTAGCTGTTAATGTCAGAATCACATGATGAAACGTCAAAAAAAAACAAAAAATGCAAGATCCAAACAATTTTAGTGAGTGGATAAAGAAGATGGCTCTTTTGGGGGGAACCTCTGTTCTAGAAATGAGGTCGAGTAGGCATTGATGTTAGTATGGTATTTCTTCTGTCATGTATCTGTTTTGAATTTACTGTCTACAGCCCCTAAATTCAAACTATTAAGAGATCTGTATTCCTTGTTGATACTTTCTTGAAATGCTTATCAATGGGAAATTTTTAGCCATTAGTAGTAGTTCCTTAGATCAAGCCTTTGGTTTTTTTTTTTTTTTTTTCCTAATGCTTACGTTACAATATTTTGAGTATTTCTTAGACCAGGCAGCCCTATCAAATAATCTTACTTGGGTTTTTTGCTGTATTATTTATTTCATAAGCTGTAGTTTGGTTTTACAGGACTATTTAATTAAACAACTAGAATCAAAAAAAGGGAACTCCCAAGTTGATTAGTGGTGTTTGAGGACCACAATTTTACTACTTCCATTAAACAAAATAACATAGAGTGCTTGTATTTTGAGGAAATTTTCAGAACTTTACATAAGTGAGCTGAGCCTAGATGAGCAATGTTTTGTTTGTAGTGTGTCAGAACTATTTGAAACATCTGAATTAACACCTTAAATATTACAACAACTCAAGGAAGTGGGTACAATTAAATTATTATCTTCATTTCAAGATTAGAAACCTGAGGCACAGAAAGGTAAAACAAAAACCGCCCAGGGGTCATACCTTGGGAGAATTGGGATTAGAACCTGGATAGTCTTGGCTCTACATTGTGTCTTAACTGTTATATCAAACTTTAGGTTTTTGGTATTTAAAAGATTTTTCTTTAGCATTATTGTGCTGCTGATAATAGTGAAGACTTAGCATTTACTATGTACCAAGCACTATTCCTAAGCCCTTTGTAAGAATCCACTTCCCTAATCCTCACAACAGTTCTCTGAGATAGATGCTCTTTACCATTCCATTTTATGCATGAGGAAACAGGCAAAGAGAAGTTAAGTTCCTTGTGTAGTCACACAGCTAGTGAGTGACTGAGATGCATATCAGATAGTCTACCTCAAGAATTTACGCTTTTAAACTCTATGCTATACTGCTTTTTCAGACCATTTGAGTTTCTCTTTTTATCAGATGAATGAATGAATGTCAGTTTGGTCTTGCTACCTGTTACTCTCCTCTCCCATTTCACATTTAAATAACTGGGATTCAACTTCAATCTTCTTCTCAGGTTATGGATAAATGTGAACTGAGTGGTCCACTAACCTAAGTTTTGAAAACAAGAGTGAGTTTCTTTTTGATTAGTCTCTTTTCAAGGACTATGGGAACCACCATGTGCTGACTAATTGCTAGATGTATCTTAAAATACATTTTGTCCCCAAAGAGCCTATAGGCTGGATAACATGGTTTTGCAGGTGTTTCTTTAAGATCCTTAAGGTGCTTCGGTAGCCAGCTAATTTTGTGGGATTGTTGTGTGACTCACGGATGCTGATGATGGTGACCTTGGAGTTTAGTTTTATTAAGAGTGACTAACTTGGACGTTGCTTTCATCCTCCTCCTCATCTGTAGTGGTCTAGTTTTCGTTATTCCTGCAAATGTAAAGTTGAATACTCTTATTAGCGCTAGGGGAGAAAGCAACTACTTCTGTCTCTAGGTTGTAGGTTGTTTAATTCATGGATTCAGTGCTTCTTGTTAGTCCAAAATACAGTTTGATTCTTACAGATTTTTCAAATCCTTTTGACTATAATGATCCTTTTTTTTTTTAATATATTTTTTTAAAAATTTTTATTTATGATAGAGAGAGAGAGGCAGAGACATAGGCAGAGGGAGAAGCAGGCTGCATGCACCGGGAGCCCGACGTGGGATTCGATCCGGGGTCTCCAGGATCATGCCCTGGGCCAAAGGCAGGCGCTAAACTGCTGTGCCGCCCAGGGAATCCCCCCCCCCTTTTTTTATGGATTTTATTTATTTATTTATTTATTCATGAGAGACACAGAGGGGCAGAGACACAGGCAGCGGGAGAAGTAGGCTCCACGCAGGGCGCCGGACGTGGGATGTGATCCTGCGAAGGCAGGCGCTAAACCGCTGAACCACCGGGGCTGCCCTAATGATCCTTTTCCTGTAAGGAAGACACTTGATTAGGTTCCTACTACTGACATAAAAGTTTTCAGATTAAAATCTGAAACGTTTGATTGGCTTTTGCTTTCTGTAGTATATGTTATGGTTTGTGAATTTTGACAAGGGCTGCATTTATATATCAATATTAAGTAGTTTCTTTAAAGATTTATTTTTATTTATCATAGACACAGAGAGAGAGAGGCAGAGACACAGGAGGAGGGAGAAGCAGGCTCCATGCTGGGAGCCCACTCGATCCCGGGACTCCAGGATCGCGCCCTGGGCCAGAGGCAGGCGCCAAACCGCTGAGCCACCCAGGGATCCCCTGTTAAGCACTTTCTTAAAGACTATTGTATATGGGATCTTATCCAGATTTATGGAATCATTTTCTCTGGGAATAGGCGTAATTTTGAAGTGTCCCCTAGGTGATTCTGAGGCCTCCCTCAGGTTAAGATCCACAGACCTAGGGATAATTTTTTAATCAATACTTACAT